GACCGAGGGCACCTCCCACTGCCCAGACCCTGGTGACGGTGACCGAGGGTGCCCACTGCCCAGACCCTGGTGACGGTGACCGAGGGCACCTCCCAGTGCCCAGACCCTGGTGATGGTGACCAAGGGCACCTCCCACTGCCCAGACCCTGGTGACAGTGACCGAGGGCACCTCCCACTGCCCAGACCCTGGTGACGGTGACCGAGGGCGCCCACTGCCCAGACCCTGGTGATGGTCACCGAGTGCGCCTCCCACTGCCCAGGCCCCAGTGAAGGTAACTGAGGGCTCCTCCCACCCAGGCCCTGGTAACGGTGATCGAGGGCTACCATTATCCAAGCCCCGGTGACAGTGACCAAGGGCTCCCACTGCCCAGGCCCCCGTGGTGGTGACCGAGGGCTCCTCCCCTGCCCAGGCCCTGGTGATGGTGACCCAGGGCTCCCACTACCCCAGGCCCCAGTGACAATGACAGACGGCTCCCACAGCCCAGGCCCCGGTGATGGTGACCAAGGGCTGCTCCCACTGCCCAGGCCACAGTGACGGTGACCAAGGGCTCTCAGTGCCCCAGGCCTTGCCCCTCCTTCCTTTGGTGTCCAAAAGCACAAATAATCTGGTAACACAGTCAAGGCCCCTTCCTCCAGAAAACTGCCCACCCTAGGACTCCCGGGGTCTGGGCTAAGCCTCCACAGCCCCAGGGGTTCCTCCTGCCTCCCCTCATTCCACACAACTCTAGGTACAGCTGCCGCTGACTGGCCGCTGAACCACAGGCTGCGGGGGACTGGCAATGGCGCAGTCCCTGTGCTCATCCCACAGCATGGGGCTGGGGAGGGACACGGTAGGGAAGAAGTAGTTTTTAAATATTAATGAAAATGGCCTAGACACCAGGAATACATTTTCCATCCAAAGAGGCTACTCTCTTAAAGCCATGAGACCGAGTCACATTTCAGCCATACCCCACACTGTTTAGGCTGCACCAATGACCCTTCCAGGCATCCCGAGACAAGGCTGGACTTGACGGACAGAGAGGGGACCTGCGAGCAGAACATGGGGCACCTTGACTTTCGTCTGGTCGGTGGCCATGGTCCCGTCGGTCACCAGGCCGGAGCCCAGTGCGTGCTCCAGGAAGCTGCCCAGCTTCTCAGCATCATGGCCTGCGTTGGAGCCTGAAGTCTCGATGAGGACGTAAAACGGACTCTCTAGAAGTAAGCAAGGAAGGCAGAGTGAGCAGAGGCTCCGGCTTCCAGGGCAAGAATCAGGGCTGCTTGGGCGGAATGGCTGTGATAGCAACCACTGATCTTTCGAGGCCAAGAAGGACCCAGGCAGCCAGCGGAGCACACAGCTGTCCGCTTGAGCTGACTTTCAGGAGGTTTAAAAACTTGTCTTTGGCCAGGCACGGTGGTTCACACCTGTAATCCCAGCACTTCGGGAGGCTGAGGTGGGTGGATCACCTGAGATCACGAGTTTGAGACCAGCCTGGTCAACACGGCAAAACCCCACCTAAATTAGCCAAGTGTGGTGGCGGGTGCCTGTAATCCCAGCTACTCAGGAGGCTGAGGCAGGAGAAACGTTTGAACCCGGGAGGTGGAGGCTGCAGTGAGCCGAGACCGTGACGTTGCACTCCAGCCTGGGCCACGGTGAGAAACTCCACCCGGGAGGTGGAGGCTGCA